AGTCTTGCTGTACTTAATGTTGACCAGATGTATAAAATGAAATGAATGGTGTAATTAAATGACTCCACGTAAATCTCTGGCATCTGTTTGCAGTGTTTCTTTGAAGCCCTCTTTTATGCCCATAGTAGTATTGAAACATAAAAGCTCCCATTTAGTCAAGGATATCTAACCAAATTACAATAACTTGTGAGCTAAAACCATTTGGATGTATAGCCTGAACAGGTCAGAACCTCATATCTAATTGTCATTTAACTAGGGTTGAAAGTTTGTGTCATGCAATGCAGAGCTACAATAAGACTGTGTACCCTAGGCAAAGTTTGAAAATGGAGAGTGTGTACGTGAGGGTGCACATACACACATACTTTCACACATGTGGCTTGACTTTTATCGTAAGTTCCTACATATCATGAACAGTGGTATTTTCCTGCCTTAGAATGTATTAATTTATTAAAAGTAACATTTAAGTCTCCCCAGCTGCTTACTTTGTCTATTCCTTTGGCTTTATTACCAACCACAATGACCCAGTTGTGGTCAGCTGTGAATTTTTCATCAGGGATTTTACCTTATAATAATGATACATTGAAGTTTGTTTTTTAAAAAAATTAATGGATGAGGATAAACTTTTTCCATAAAGTGACTGCCAATTATATTTGATCATATCATTACTACTAGTCATCACGCAAATGAAAAGCAGTGTCATCATATAATTTTTTTTAAAAAATCTTTTTTTTGACCCTCCATATCTGTTTTGTGTTTTTATTTTAATATTCCTAAAAGTCTTGGATTTCGCAGTATTTCAGAACAAAGCCCTCATTGTTAAACTGACTCTGGAAAGCTATCCAATTTCTGCCATCCTGTTCCCTATCTACAGGGCACTTGATAAATATAACTTCCTATTCAAGACATTAGCCTAATCTTATCTTTACTGCTGTCTTTCTAGTTATACTTTCCCTGGATTAGGCAGCATAACTATAAGTCAATCACTCAATACACATTTATTAATCACCTAATATGTGCTAGGCACAGTGCTCAGTTCTGGGGATATAATAGGAGTCCACGGTCTAATGGAAGACACAAGGATCTCTAACCAAATTACAATAACTTGTGAGCTGAAGCCATTTGGATGTATTGCCTGATCAGGTCAGAACCTCATTGTGGGAATAAATCATCTAATATGAGGTAAAGAGGGCTTACGTCAAGGTGGATGGCAGTGTCAGGAGAGGATATGTGTATGCAAGAGACGTTACAAAGGTCAGATTGACAGGCCTTGGCAACACATTTAATGTGGAGAGTGAGAGAGAGAGTGAGGAGTCAAGGATGACACCTTGATTGTGAACCAGGATGGCTGGGAGGATGGTGGTACTCTTGACAGTCAGAGAGAAGTTTGGAACTGGGAAATGTTTTAGGGAGTAACATAATGGGTTTAGTTTTGGACGTTAAGTTAAAAATGTCTAGTTTGATATGTGCAGTAGACATGTGAAGATGAGAATCTGGGTCTTAGGAGTTAGAGCTTGATAAGCAGATTTGAAAATCATCAGCATAGAGTGTTAGTTGAATCCCTAGGAGCTGATGAGATCACTCAGTATAAGAGAAGGGAAGAAGGCATGAGTTCTTGTGGGACATCCATATTTAGCAGGTATGACATAGATTAAGATATAGCAAAGGAGACCAAGAAGGAGCAGTCATTGGTAGGAGGCAAACCTGGAGAAAATAGCGTCCTGAAAACCTAGAGAGAATGTCAAAGAGAAGAGAGTGATCGACAGTGTCACAGGTCACAGAGAGGTCAAGAGGATGAGGATTGAGAAAAGGTTATTGGATTTGGCAACTCAGAGATAGTTGGTAACTTTCGAGAGAACAGTTTTGGTTGAATGATGAGGTTGGAAGCTAGACTGTAGAGAGTTAAGAGAGAGGAAAAAAAGTGTAGATGCTTATGATAGGAAGCACCCATTCTGGATGACCTTTTAAAGGAGTTTAGCCACAAAAGGGTTGTGAGACATGGGATGAAGCTGCAAGAAAGAAAGCATCATCCGAGGGCTTTTTGAGGAAGTAGATATGGGCATGTTTATAGGCAGCAGACAGGAAGGAATTGAAGTGAAATGAGAGCATGAGGATGATAGAGGAGGTAATCTGGAAAAGATAGGCTTGTATGGGATCACTTGTGCATTTAGAAGGCTTAGTGTTAGCAAGAAGAGCCATCTCTTCGTATGATATGCTTAGCATCAGTGTTTAGCACAGTGCCTGGCATATAGTAGGCACTTAATAAATGTTTATTGATTGATTGATGTGATCTAATGCTGGAGGAGGAGTTAGTAGAAAGCATCTGGGAGGAGAGAAGAAGAACAATCTCTCGGCAGACTTATTTTTTCAGTAGATAGTATGGCAAGATCTTTAGCTTAGAGAGCAGGGGACAGGAGGAGTCATGAGAGATTTGAGGAGGGATGAAAAGGTTTGGAAGAGCTGCTATGATGAATGGGATAGTGAGTTGATTAGGGAGGCATAAAAGGATTGCCTTGTAGCAGTGAGAACTCAGTTGAGGTTATGTCAGTTTACGTGGTTTTGTGATTTTCTCTAGCTTCGTTAATCAGTGTGTGTGGAGGAGCAAAGGCAGCATATGGTGGGAATGATCCAGAGTCAAGGCTTGCCAGGGCAAGATCAGTGATGATATAAATGGAGCAAGGGACTCACCAGAAGGAGACATTGTGGAGTTGAACTCCTTTGCCAGGGAATCAAGACAGGGAAAGGAGGGAGATAGTGTCACCAGTGCAGGAATGATGGTTTAGGAAACAACCGAGAGATCAAGGGATTGGATGTCATGGTGTGGACAAAGAACAAGGTTTGTGGTAGCAAGGTATGGGGAGAGGTGAAATGACAATAGATTGTGATCAGATAAGGAAATTTCAGAACTCATTAACATAGAAAGTGGAGTATTTGTGGGTGATGGAAAGATTAAGTCTATCAACATCTTTGTGTGTGACTGAGGTGACATGGAGGAGTAGGCCATGGGAAATAATATGTCCCAATGCTTCTTGGACATCTCAAACCCTAAGTCTTATAAGCATCTCAAATTTAACATGTCTGAAACAGAACTTATCTTCCCCCACCAAGACCCTCCCCCTTCCAAATTTCCCTGTAATTATTGAGTATACCACCATGCTCCTAGTCATCCAGGCCCACAATTTCAGTGTCATCCTTGACTCTTCATTTTCATCCTATCAGTTCATGGCCAAATCTTGTTGTTTCTGCCTTCACAACATCTCTTGTATATGCCCACTCCTTTCTACTCATACAGCAGTAACCCTAGTTCAGGCCTAAATGAACTATCTCCTGGACCACAGCAATAGTTTTCTAACTAGTGTTCCTGTCTCAGGTCTTTACCTGCTCTAATTCATTCTCCTGTCAGCTTTCAGGATGGTTTTACTAAAGTGTAGATCTGACCTTGTCACCCCTCCCTGCTCCATGAGCTCTAGTAGGTGCCCTTTATCTCTAGGATCAAACATAAATTGCTGCGTTTGACCTGTAAAACTCTTCACTTCACCTACACCTTTCTTACCTTTGTGGTCTCTCACATCTCCCTTCCATGTACTCTACATGTAGTCACACTGGCCTGCGTGGCATTCTTAAAACATGACATTCCCATCTCCTTTGCACTGGCAGTCCTCCATCCCTTGAATGCTCTGCCCCCTTACCTCCACCTCTTAGTTTCCCTAGATTCCTTCAGAATTCAGCTCAAATCCCAGGAAAGATGCCTTTCCTGGCTCTGTCCTACTGCCCTCCAGCTGCTGATGACACTTCCTTTCGGATGACTTCATATTTATGGTATATATCTTATAGATTCCTCCATAATTACATGTTGTCTTCTGCATTAGAATGTGTACTCCTTGATGGCAGGAATTCTGATTGGTCTTGTTTTGGTTTTTGCCTTTCTTTGTATCCCCACTGCTTAGCCAAGTACTTGGCACATATTAAGGACTTAATAAATATTTGTGGACTGAGAGGCTAGCCTGACTATTGGGGAAGATAAGTACGTGCCTTGGTTTCAAAGCAACTCTGGCTGGACCTCAGTCTCTGTGAAGAAGAAAAAAACAAGATACTGAATGATGTCAATGAAGGATTTTAATTCTTCTCTATTCTGCATCTGTAATACCATTAACTTACCGTCAGCCTGTAGGAAAGTGAACTCTCTATGGGATTGCTAAATTCTACTCTCAATGATTATTGTGGGAATATTTGATTGATAAGATCTAATGACCTCCATAATCTAAGATGAAGCTGAGTATATATCATTTGTTCTTCCTATAGCTCAGTTGAAAGTTAGTTTATCAATTGGTAGCAGCACTTTAAACATACTTCTTAATGATTTTTAATTCACTGATGTTATTTTGATATGGTTATTCAATAAAATGTAGCAATAAAAACACCTTAAAAACTCTTTGGATAAAAATGACTAACGAAGGAAAAAAGGTAAATTTTCTTAGTCCTTTCTGATGTTGAATTATTGACTTCGTATTTTCAAAATGTTTTTATTCAACAAATGTGAAATGTACTATTATAAGTTATTTTAAAATTGCCTTATTGCATTTGACTGTTGAAAATATCTGAAGTCACTGACTTCCTGAAAAGTATTAAATGAAACATACTTTAATTTGAAGAAATTCTAGGTGTCTCAGTGTGACAGTATTTGGGATGAATTTCATTTTATGTGAATTCTTTGGGGAAATCAGTTTTCGAAGCTACAGCATTCTTAATGATGAATTGCACAGGAGAAGCAGCAGAAATAGTCATCAGGAATTGTATGGCTCAAAGAAAACGGTGGACCAGTCAAGAAGGAAAGAAAACTGATGGTTCACCCATGTGCTCCATATTGTCCAGGCAATGCCAAGAGATCTGGAGAGACTCATAGTGTAGGTCTTTGTAGCAGATTCACAGAAGGGCATGGACAAGAATCACTCGGATCCATCACAGTGTTAAATTGATGTCAGATTTTGCTCTTCTGTTCATAGGTACAGCTGCCTTGGAAGAAGATGCCCAGATTCTAAAAGTTATTGAAGCGTATTGCACAAGTGCCAAAACCCGCCAAACACTCAACTCAAGTAAGTGTCTTAGAGCTGTGTTGACAGACTTGGTACATGGAGGTGTTCAGTAATAGAGTGAGGCAGAGCAGCCACCGAAAGTGATTGTTGACCACTGGTCAGATGTCTGAGTTGTTTTTAGTCCTTGGAGCTTGGATGTAAAATGAGCATCCCAAACTGAAGTCTTGGAACTATTTAAAGGGATCTGAGTTGTCTGTAATAGCAGAACTTGGTATGACTTACTGCACAAGCCTCTATTTAGAAGGTATTTCAGTTTTAAGAAAATCTTTACTGGAAGGTAGTAAAGAGAGAGGTCACTGGGGAAAGCACTAATATCTCATCTCAGTCACATGAAGTATTACTGGTGGTGAGTAGAAGTCTCTTTCAACAAGTTTTTCACTGAACAAAAAGTGATATCTTAGGAATTTCTGGCAGAATATTAAGCAGAATGAAAATAAGGTTACTCGAGGTTTTTTTTTTTAAATAGCTTGTGTAGTAACATACTTATGTAGTGTTTTGAGGTTCATAAAGCATGTTTCACTTTAATTTGTAAGGTAATTTGGAGATACAGAAAAAGTTATTCATCAGATGCCAGTATCACTGTAGTTTACTTATATTGTTAGCTGCTATTAATTATCTCAAGACAACTTTTACCTACACTAACAGTATTGAGGAAGTTGTTCTACTTTCCTCTTCCACAATGCTAATGGAAATGTAGGAAAGGTGGATATAGCATATTATTTTTGTTTAGAAAAAGACCTCATTTTGTTCTATTTTCACCATTTGGCTGATGCTGAGCAAGCAGTAGTTACTTTGAGGCCAGTTCTCAGGCTTTGCAGCATGCAATAATAATGCACCCTAGTAGCTGAATAGAAGACAAAGCGCTGCTCTGACTGTTCCTGTTCTTAGCCAAATTCTCCTATCTGTGGGTAAACCAGCAGAGGGACTGACAGTTTTATAGTACCTTGGCATCCAGTTTTTGGTTTGGAGAATTGTGCTCAATGCATTTTAGAATCTTCCTTGAATAATTTTGTAATGTTGTTTAAATTGTGTGTGTTTTTTGGAATTCCACTTAATTCATAGCTATTGGGCATCTAATGTACAAATTAATTTGTGGAACTTGACATTATTGTTTGCCCGTTATTTTTAAAAACTAGCTATTGCATTCTTATATGTTTTAAAACCTTAAATAATTTTTTTTCCTGTATCCTGACAACAAACTAAAGGAAACCTGAGAGATTACAAAAGAGAATTTTAGGTTCAAGATCAGGTTCCATGTTTAAAACTCTACAGTATACTTATGTCTACCTTATATAGGCGTGCAGAGTATTCACAAAGAATGTGAGGATTAGATTAGTCTATTTGATTTATCAGTGTAGTAACTGTTTTTGAGTTTCTACTAACTTGATTTCATCTTTTACTGAGATTCCTCTGAAAGCCACATTATTCTAAATACCATTTTTTTATATAAACTAAAATAAAATTTGACTGCTGCCAAAATACATATTTTTTATATCAGGATAGTCATTAGGAAAATTCATTTGACAAGTGATTTTTAAAAATTCACAGATATTCATTTGCTTAAGCTTGTGTGTTATTGATGTAAAGTATTATTGGTATTTTCATGTGTAATGAATATATTTTTAATAATGCATAATGCACACCCCAAATCAGCAGCCCTTATCTATAATTAATCTCACCAAGCAAGACAAATATTCTTTAGGATTCCATGGTTTTTTTTTTTTAATTGCAAAGTCTGCTGGGGACATAAAATTTACTATCATATTCAGAATCCACAGCTTTTATCTGTTTCTTTTATATGCAATTTATATTTATGCAGACCATAATTCCAGTTTTGATGCCATCTTGACTTTTGGCAGATTACTTTTCATCATTAACTTTCCACTCAGCAAAATAGAGATGAAAATGCGTCTTAAATAGTTTAGGAATCCTTTGGGTTCCTGGAAAAAGTGCCATGCACTAGACATGAGTCTAATAAGAATCAATTAAATCCATTTTAAAAATATTACTTAGCTACTAGTTTTAAACTTTTCCTATGCTATAGAGACTTTAACCAGCCACCAGAATTGACTGGTTTACACTTTGTTTTTTCTATATATTCTCTATGGCAAAAAGTGTTGAGGTGATACATAAAGTAGCTGAAGGGAAGACAGAAATCCTGGGTAATACACAGATGTATAATTAGCCTGTGAATAATCAAGAATTGGCTGTATATATAAATTGTTGAGTAAAAGTATTAAAAATTAATTACAGGGATTTTTTTAGAGTGAATAAAATAACTACATTAATGGTTCCTTGGATACCAGAAAGTTATTGGAATATTAATCTTGTTAAAAACAGTTTAAAACTCTTTGATATCAAATATTTCTTAAGAAAAATTTTAGCTAATGGTCTCAGAGAAATGAAGTCACATGGGATTGTACCTTCTCTAGTGCAAGATGCATTTTTCATAGTTATGAGATGTTGCCATAGAACATGCTCATGGCTTTGCTGCTTCTGGCTGCCTAAAGGCGATTGACTACTTAAAATTTGCACACATCTACCAAAGTGCTACTTTGCTTCTCTATAATGTATTTCCATTATTCCTGTACAAGAATAGCATTGGACATTGCATTTTGTTTTGTTTAATTAGTAATCAAAATACTAAGGACTGCTACAAAAATTTGCTTTTATTCTTGAGACAGAGTAATGACGGAGGGGTGAATGAATTGAAGTTCTTACGCTGTTATCTTGTGACAAATTTACCTAGACAACCTGATCATATCCAGTGTTGGGAAAAGTATCCATTTTTACCAAAAAATTAGTAAAAGTGATATTTAAAATGAAATATATGCATTGCACATTATTAAAATCACTTTATATTCAGTGTACTTCTGAACAAGGAGAAACTTTGTACGCTAAAACTATATCTTGTTAATATCTGTTGCTATGGAATAATAGCTACCCACCTCACAGAATCTTCCTTCTTTTTTTCAACAAAATGGTCCCCTGCTTATTCTTGTTAAGGTTTGGAAGCTGAATTAACTTTGGTGTGACCAAGAGAAGGAGCAAAGAGACAGTTATCTCTATGGTAGATTGTTACAAACAAAAGGAGTGATTTTGTTTAACTTTGGGTGTTTGTGCCACTGGAGGATTCCACCTCCTTACTTACCTCTTTCCCTGTTTTTTGTGTTTCTCAATCACAATTGCCTGGGCAGCTGTACTTTAACCATTCCCTCCGGCTGCTCCTGGGGTCTTTTCTGTTCAGCCATTTTGTTCCTACTTGCTCTCAGTGTCCTCCTTTTAACATTAGCAACTTTGCTGCATACTTCTTTTCTTGATTCTGTTCTTTGGTGACAGTGCTCCCAATCAGGGTTCACATCCTAGTTAATAGAAGCACAAAATGTTTATGATGCAGCCACCTCCCATGGCTTTCAGTGTTGAGTATTTCTATTGGCTTAATTTTCATGAATTCCATTGAGGAGCTTGGCAACACCCACACAAAGTATGGCATGGGAGGTGGGGGAAAGAGAGGAAAGTGGACTCTGTTTAATTCCTTTCTCCACTCTGAAATTTTTACAGTGGTCATATTTGAGAAGGTAAGTTTAGGCACACACACCCCCCTCCCATTCATTATGATGACTACTGGTGATTTCTAGTCTTGGCAGAGAGCTAGCTGAAGAAGTAAGGAAGTAAGTCAAAAATATTTTTAAATTATTTTGCAGCCTGCTAATATGTCCCTTTAATGACAGGGACACATTTTAATTAACCATGTTTCTCTTTACAAATATTAAGTGAAACAGACTCATTTGTTGTGTATTATAAAATTTTAAATGTTATTGGTTAATGGTCAAGCATTTACAGAACTGTCTTTTATAGTAGGACTTAATTTGATATTTTTTAAAGACTCAAAAATGAATAACAACTTAAAAAGTAAGTTTAAAAATTGTGTTCTAGCTTTATTCTTAAAGATATGATCTAGTTTTATTTTTCTAGTCTTTATTGTAAGTTATGTTTAGAGTGTAAAAACCCAGGCAGAAATAAGGATAGATAAGCTTTGATGCCTTTTTTGTTAACAATATTTTCTCTTTTCCTTCTCTTCCCATCACCTTTTTTGCTTTTGTTTCATGTTTTTTGGTTGTGGCTATTCCTGTATGTTCTCCTCCTCATCCCACCTCTGCCTATCCACATCTGCCATTTCATTTCACCCATACATCCTTAGCATGGCAAGGCACTGACCTGATGCATAATCACGTCTTGGCTGATGATGACCAATCAAGTCTAGACTCCTTGGGTCGTCGCAGTAGCCTTTCTCGTTTGGAGCCTTCAGACCTCTCGGAAGACTCTGACTATGACAGTATATGGACAGCCCATAGTTACAGAATGGGTTCTACATCTCGTAAGAGCTGTTGCTCATATATCTCTCACCAGAACTAATGCACTTCTGAGCTTTTCTTAACAAATGCTTGTTGTATCACAGCCTGCTTTTCTTAGATGTTTTCTCGCTGTTCCTCGTCTCTTTTTAATGTGATATTTTAACAACTTTTGAGAGCGTTTCTGATATTTTCCATTGTACATGGTGGAGGCTTGATTGCCAACTTAAAATTCAAATACCTGACTACTAAAGGGAGACAGTATATTCACTTAAGGATATACTTGAGTTGGTTTTTTGTTGTGGTTGTTGTTGGGTTTTTTGTTGTTGTTGTTGTTGTTGTTACTTTACTATTATTGATAGCTGTTGATTTGTAGCTCCCAATGGTTTGTTTTTTGACCATGTCAGTGTAGCAACTGTTTCCTTTTTTTGGATTCAGTAGTGTGAACGTTTTGTATTTTGTACTGAAACCATACAGGTTTGTGATCTAAGTGCCAGCAATATGGAGATACTTTTTAGCCTTATTATGGTTGAATTTTTTATGTATGGTAAACACACAGGTTAAGCAGGCATGGAATAAAATAGCAGTGAGAAAGATTAAAATGTTCAGTGAAAATACTATAAAATTAATTCAGATGTCCATGGATCT